TCAAGAATTGGTCAAATGATGTTTGTGGCTTCAAAATAAGATGTTGACCAAAAAATTTGACTTTTGACTGTCAAATGACCATTTTGCCCCTGCAGTTGACTGTGGAGCAATTAGGGTTTTTGACTGTGCAATTTGATGCTGTGAGTCTTGAAACTTGACATATGGATGCTTGACAATGTATGTAGGCGTGTGGGACTTGTTTGGACCCTTGGAAACCTCAACTTCTTTGCCAGAACCAAAACCCTAATTTTGACTGTGTTAGGAGGCAATTGGACTGTGCAACCCTTGAGATATTTTGAATCATCTGAAGATTGATCTTGGCAAATCTTGAAGAATATGGGAGGGAAAATTTTGGGGTACAACACCGTGTTTTCGCACCTGTCATTCGAGGAAATGTTAATGCTGATAAAAAGGTTATTGAAAGTTCTAAAACTAAGAAATTAGTGAAGGAATCTAGTGGTACTACTTTGGACAAAGATATGGATGATATATTAAAGATTATCAAGATGAGCGACTACAGGATCGTAGATCAATTGTTGCAGACTTCATCAAAGATATCCATTCTATCCTTTCTAATGAACTCCTTTGCCCACAAGAATCTTTGATGACAATATTGGATCAAGCTTTCATGGAAAGTGATATGCCCTTGGACCAATTCAGCAGTGTCGTAGGGAATATTACATCCTATAATAACCTAAACTTTTATGATGACGAGCTGCCCGACGAAGGAAGGAATCATAATCTGGCTCTCCATATCTCTATGAACTACAAGAATGATTCATTGTACAATGTGCTGATTGACAATGGATCCGTTTTAAATGTCATATCGAGGAGCACGCTCATGGAGTTGAAATACCAAGGAACTCCCATGCGCCCGAGTGACATAATTGTGAAAGCTTTTGATGGATCGAGGAAGTCTGTCATCGGGAAAATAGATTTGCATATTCAAATTCAAATAGGCCCACACCTATTTCAGATTAATTTCCAGGTTATGGATATCGTGCCTGCTTACAACTGTCAACTGGGACGACCATGGATCCACGAGGCAGGGGCTGTCACTTCAACTTTGCACCAGAAGTTGAAGTTCATTTGTGAAGGAAAGCTGGTTATCGTAAATGGAGAACATGCATTGTTAATATCTCATTTATCTTCTTTCAATATTGTGGAAGCAGATGAAGCTGCTATTGGAACTCAGTTCCAAGCTTTATTCATTGATAATGTAAGGGAAAATGAGAATTCTATAGCTTCATTTAAGGATGCTCAGTAGGTAGTGCGTAATGGCCCTAGTAAAGTATGGAGGAAGATTGTGGATCCACATGTGAATAAGAATAAAGTTGGTTTGGAATTCTCCGTGAAGAATAGTAAAGGTAAGAATATGAAGCCGAAGTCTGCTTTGGGAAAATATCAGGATATCTTTCACAGTGGAAGTTATATTCATCCAACTGTTCTTAGGATCAATGCTATTCTGGAAGGTGAATCAGAGCAAGAGATGCCAAACTACGTAACACATGGAGTCAGAGTCCAAAACTGGGTCACTATTGATGTTCCTTCTTGCATTCATATTTCAAAGTAATTTGTTTTGTTAATCTTTTTAAAAATCTTTCACTCTACCCAAGGTGAAAAAATTGATATTGTATGGGCATATTTATTGCTTTGATCTTTAAAATCAATAATAAAAGTTGTCTTTGATTTCCAAATTGTGTCTTTATTTTATGCTTTTTCTTGGAAAATGGTAATCAGAAAAAAAAACCTTTCAAAAATAAATAATAACTTTAATCTGCATAATCACTTGCTATATGTGTCAGTTTCTAAAAGAATCATAAATCATATGTGCAGATTAATTAAAAAAACCCGTTGAGTACAATGAAACTGCACCCTCTCCCAACTTTGAATATCCCATGTATGTGGCCGAAGAAGAAGAATATGATGAAATCCCAGAAGAGGTTTCACGGTTGATTGAGCGCGAGGAAAGTACCATTCAGCCATATAAAGAGCTGTTAGAGATGGTTAATTTGGGTTCAGAAGAAGATCCGAAAGAAGTCAAGATTAGGGTGAAACAACCGGCTGAACAATCAATTGATAATGAAATCAATGAAGTTGCCATCGAACATTTTTATCCCACATGAAGGGAAAGGTAAACATTGAGTAAACCTAAGAAGGGTGAAATCACGATCAAACGACCGAGAGATGTGGGTAAGGGAGTCTGTTGTGCGAGGGGAAGGTATTAGCACCCCATACGCCCATAGTACTCTACGGTATCCACTCTTGTTGTCTATCTTATGGGTGTGTAAGAAGCTATATCTAAGTTGTACAAGGAATGCATGCAAAAGAAAGGAGAAAAGAATGTAAGGAAAATAAAATTTGTGCTCGTTCAAAACCTACCCCAATGCCTACATATCCCTTTTAAGGATCAGAGCAGCTGTAGTTCAACTCACATGTTTTTGTTGGTTTATATTTTTTAATGAACAATATTAATTTCTCCTTCTGCCGCAGCTCGACCTTTGGAGACTCACGCATCATCACAGAAGTGAATGTCCTTTTGAAAAGTTTGAAAGAAAAGCCTGAAGGCGCAAAAGAGTTTGTATTGGTTGATATATTTTAACTTAAAGAAGGATTTAGAAGTTGTTAGATGTTTTATGCTTTTTTCAAGAAAAAGGAAGTTTTAGTCTTAATGCATGGATGCAAAAGAAAGAAAACTAATCTAAGGGAGACTAACCTAGATCTATCCCTAATATTATCATACAATGATTAATCCTAAGGTTGAGTTTTGAAAGGTAAATCTCTAACCCATGTTAACATGCATGGATTCCTATCCTAATGTCTAGCTCGAAATCTACTCTAATCGAGTAATTCTAAGGGAACATGGCATAGAAAACAAATAAGCAAGCAAGTGCTTTGGCAAAAGCACACAAACATGAGTAGCATATACTGACTCAAAGGGGTGGGGAAACAAGAGAAATGCTTTAGCTAAGGGGAGCATATCACCCGGAGCAAACAAGCGGGAGACTGATGAAAAAAAAGTGACGTCTAAAGCGACTGAACACCTAACCAAGATATAGAAGATCTAGGTAGGCGACAAAAGACAATATGAACGATTACAGAGTGTTAGCACCGGTCAATGCCAACTCCTTACAAGATGTGGGGATTTGATTATAAAACCTTTCCCCAATTGACGAACTCGATACACAAGATCTGCACGACTCCGAAGCATCGACGTACAACGTGAGTTAAGGATGACACGGAGTAGAATGTGCGAGGGTCGGTTACGGAGCCTCCCTGCTCGCCTCCTTTTGAGGACTTATCATCTATAATATAATGTGGGTACAAATGTAAACACACATGCAAAATACCTACTTCAAAGGTAGCATTTTAAACAAATACAATTAGCATACAGAAAGCGGTGCCTGCTACAGGACTTTAAACAGATACTTTGAGCGCATGCTCTTTATTTTCTGCTTCCTACTTCACATGGTCTCTAGAAAGTGATAAATTCCCCTACCATACATGATCTCTAGAAAATCGGTAAAGAAATATAGCAAAGTGCGAAAGAGTAGAAAGGTAGTAGCGGCGACTACCAAAAGCGAGAAAATCATCAAGAGCGGATGAAAGCAATGGAGAAGTAGGGAATACACGTCGAGCAAGCTTCACCAAGAAATAAACAAAGTCAGAAATGATATCCAATTAAATTAAAAGTAAATGCATGTTTAGAAATTCCTGTACAAAGTATCACAAAATATCGCACGCATCAGGACAACATATGAATTTCTCAGGATGATGAGAAGTAACGCGTGTCGCATCCGGAGCGACCATGAACCGCATGCTTCAATCATATAACAAATTGTTATATTACGTTATCGAAAGCACAAAAATACACCTTGCACAATGAACAAACATGTCAAAAATGGAAAAGCGATATAATACTGATAAAAAGTTATAAAGAGAAAGTATTTATTATTATTATTTTTAGTTTTTATGTAGGGAGAATTCTAAGAAAAACTAATGAATTAATTCCTAAAAATTAAAATCTATTTTTTTATTGCTTTTATTATATCATGACAAAAATATAAAAAAAATTCTAAAAGAAGACATTAGTTCAGCGGGGTAAAAAAAACTGGAGTCAGGGGTGCAGAAATCTGGGCGCTAGGCCCAGCTAGAGTGAATCCAAAAAGCTGCTTTTTTTTATTGTCTAACACAAGTTTCAAACAAATTTAAAGGGAAAAAAATCCCAAAATGAAGTGCTAGTCGGCTCAGTAAAAGGCGTGTATGTTACTGAATTTTGGAAATGAGCTACCATAAGTACAGTGACACTCAGGCCCGCTAAATACAAGTGTTATTCAGCCCAACTTACTTATGTCTAAGTCCAAATGTTCCAACAAAAATTAGTCCTCCAATTTCTGCTACCATTATGATTACTGTGTCACATATTTAATCAATCAACCCTTTAAACAAAAAATGAAATGAAGAAATAGAACTGATGATAAAACAGATAACACACATGTCCAATTATGCACTACCACATGAGTTATTTTTAAAAGAACAAAACAAAATTATCATGACCAGTTATCATACGCCACGTCACATGTTCATGTAATAGAAACAAAACCTTATCGTTCTACAGTAGCATCTTCTCCAGCGTGAAGGACGCCTCTCATAGAGGTGATCAACACGAAACCTCAACGAAAACACGATTGAAACAACCTCCCTTACTCAAAATCTCGCAGGGATCACATATTCACACTTATATTCTACTAATACAAACTCAGATCACACAAAATCTTAATCACACCAAATGGATCTTGAAACAAAAACGCGTGATAATGAAACTAGAGCTCAAGTATGCGTCGAATGCCAACATCAAAATATTTACACAACTTTAGATACGACGAAATGCTACTTAGCTCATGGAGAACTTAGTACGAAAGATCGAGAGATTTTGAAACTTACCGTAACAACGATCGAATCTTGCAGTTCCCTTAGATAAACTCTACAGTCGCAACCCTATGATCTTGACGATGACAATTGATAGCCTCAGAATCCTTGAATCTTGCTGTGATCTTTGGTTTATTCTCCGCAAATCGAAGAAGAAGACGGAAACACTGAAGCTGCTACGATGCACTTCAGTTTTTTGTTACGCCATCGTGAGAAAGAAGAGAGGTTTTTGCTTCCATTTTCGTGATTACCGTAATGGAAAGAAGGAGAGAAAGTGAGGTTGTTGAAGATGATGGAAAGTGAAAGAGAGAGAGAGAGTGTGAGGTTTGCCAGGTTTTGTTATACTTGAGAGAGATAACAATTCGGTTATCATTGAAAGTGAGAGAACCATTTTGTGACCATTGAGAAAGAGAGAGTGATTTTGTGTTGTCAAAGAGAATGAATGAGAAAGAGAGAGAGTGAGTTTTTCAAGGAAAGGAAGAGAGAGTGTAATCTCTTATTACGATTGCCACTGCCATGAAGAAAAAAACGTTCTTGTCACATGAAAGAGAGAGAGAGAGAGAGTGTTGGTTACGGTATGAGGTTGTTATCGCGAAAAAGAGATAGAAAGCAAAATTGTTATCAAAAGAAACACAGAGAGAGAAAATGAAGTTGTTACGCTTGGAGAGAGAGAATGAATTTGTTATGTATGGCCAAAGAGAGTGAGGATTCTATCCATGCATGCAACATGAATTATACATGGACATGTAGTAACAAACACATTACTCCCTGCAGAATATAATACAATAGCTCTATTCCTCAAAGATTCCATTTACTATGCATGGCCATGTAACCTCATTTGTGCTCGTATATCTTGAACTACAACACTCCTCATGACACAATCTTAGCATCACTGAAAAGAGGACACATCAAGGAGCATTTTTTATGTTGGCCTCATGTCGAAATAACACTCGTAGCCTATCTTAAAATCGCCCTGAAGTCATGAAATCACAACTAAAATAAATACAATTAATTTTGTTAACACCGACGATTATCCGTCAACACTATAACCTCCATTTTACGGCTTAATAACTTGAAATATATAATTCTTCAGGATGAGATCTCAACATCAAATTTGAAGAGGGAATTTCTCTAAACAACTTTCATGTTGGAAGCTTCTTGAAATAATGCTCGAAACGTACTCAAAAATGGTCGCGAAGTCGTAATATCAAAACTGGTTTTAATGGCTGAAAATTCACCAAGTAGAAATCAAACTTCATTATCATGATTTCAAATCCTTGTAACTTTTCCAATAATGATCCAAATGCCGCAAACTTGCTACCGTTGAAAAGAGGACAAATGATAGAACAAGTTTATAGTTCATCTCCAATCCGAATACAGCCTCGATCATAGAGAAAAATGGTCATGAATGTACGCCTTGCAACTGTTCGATGAAATTTCAGACCTGGTAAGGAAAGTCCTAGGCGTGTCACCATGCATCTTGCCCGCTTCAACCTTCCTACTTTACGCTTCAATATCTCTCTCCATAATGCATAAAACGAAACGAAGTTTAAACCCAAAAGGAAGAGTACGCAACACACTCCAACTTTCATGTTCGACATTTTTCGAAATGAGAATTAAATTCATGGAAAAAAACCACTATGAACATGTGCACGCCACCTACTCGACAAAATGCTGGTCTGGCTAAGCAAGTTTTGACAGCATTTTTCCTTTCAAGTGCTCGAAACGTAAACGTCATAACTTTCTATACAAGCCACCAAATGGGATAATTCTTGAATCAAAATTGGAGAGGAGATTCTAATCTTAAACTCTTATGTTCAGAGTTTTTCCATCTGAGTCTAAACGGGACCCTATAAATAGCCATGAAGTTTGCCCCGTCTTGAAAAATCTTTTGAAAATTATTAAGTGTCCACATTAAAATGCAGGAAACTTCAAATTCGGCCGATTCTTTCGATTTTTCTCAACGGTTTATCAAATTTTCTCATATTTTGACTTTTGTCAATAATCGGGACCAAAAATCTCATTTAGTCAACCTTTGACTTTTGTTGACTTTTACTCATGCACACTTAAATCTCTTCATATCCAATCGACTCTGATTCTTCTTATAAAAATGTGGAGATCAGTAGACCATATGCAAATACTTTTAATGTAGATGGAGAACCATGAGACCATCTTAAGCTTGAAAAATCAGTTAAATCATGTCATCGATCAAGAACACTAATTGCCTTACAAAGATAGAAGATGTTGACCATAACTTCAAACACTAATCAATCTGGAATATCTTGAAGAACTCTTATACCCATATAATTCGTGACTTGAGATGATGTTTAGGATGAAAATACTTCAGATACTTGACCCTTGAAGATAAATCTTCTTCTCCTGGGAAGTATTCACTTATCAAACTAAACCCTTGATCCCATGTCATCGAGTTAACACAATGAAAATGATGAATATGATGGTGAAGCATAAGCCATTTTGCTACAAGTAAGAGGGCGAATTTTAGGGTACAACACGGGGTATTGCTGCATCTCGACGTGAAGAGCAGGCTGATTGAATTGTTGAAAGAGTATGTGGACATATTTTCTTGGTCTTATCAAGGCATGTCTGGGTTGAATAGTGATATTGTGGAATATCATTTGCCGCTAAAGCCATAATGTCCACCAATCAAGCAGAAGTTGTGAAGGACCCACCCTAATATGGCATTGAAAATTAAAGAAGAAGTTTTAAAGCAGATTAATACCGGTTTTCTTATGACATCAGTGTACCCTCAGTGGATTGCCAATATTTTCCTAGTACCAAAGAAAGACGGAAAAGTTTGCATGTGCATTGATTATAGAGATTTAAGCAAAGCTAGTCCAAAAGATGACTTTCCATTACCACATATTGATATGTTGGTTGACAGTACAACAAAATTAAAAGTATTCTCGTTCATGGACGTATTTTCCGGATATAATTAAATTAGAATGGATCTTGAGGACATGGAAAAAACAATATTTATCACACCCTGGGGAATATTTTGTTACAGAGTGATGCCCTTCGGGTTGAAGAACGCTGGTGCAACATACTAGAGAGCTATGACTACAATATTCCATGATCTGATGCACAAGGAAATTGAGGTATATGTTGATGATATGATTGCCAAATCCCAGACTAAAGAAGGGCATATAGAGGATTTCTTGAAATTGTTTCAGCGTCTGAGGAAGTATCGTCTCTGCTTGAATCCAAATAAATGTACCTTCGATGTTTGATCAGGAAAATTGTTAGGTTTCATTGTCAGCCAAAAAGGGATTAAAGTTGACCTTAATAAAGTTAAGTCAATTTAAGAAATGCCAACGCCGAGAACTAAAAAGCACGTTAGAGGCTTCCTTGGGCATTTGAATTACATTTCCAGATTTATCTCCCATATGACTGCAATGTGTGAACCGATCTTTAAGTTGTTAAAGAAAGATCAAGGTTGTGTGTGGACAGATGATTCCCAAAGGGCATTTGAAAGTATTAAAGAGTATCTGCTTGAACCTCCTATCTTGCTCCCTCCTGTTGAAGGAAGACCGTCTTTGATTATGTATCTAACAGTGTTAGATAATTCTATGGACTGTATTTTGGGACAACAAGATGAAACTGGGAGAAAAGAATATGCCATTTATAATCTCAGCAATAAGTTTACTGACTGCAAGTCACAGTATTCTATGTTGGGAAAAAATGTTGTGCTCTGGCCTGGGAGGCAAAAAGGTTGCGACAATATATGTTGAATCATACTACTTTGTTGATTTCTAAAATGGATCCAATTAAGTATATTTTTGAAAAGCCTGCCCTTACTGGAAGAATTTCCTGTTGGCAGATGTTTTTGTCTGAATATGATATTGAATACCGTACTCAGAAGGCTATAAAAAGTAGTGTATTTGCAGATTATCTTGCTCACCAACCGGTTGATCATTATCAGTCTGTTAAATATGATTTCCCCGATGAGGATGTGATGTTTTTGAAAATAAAAGATTGTGATGAGTCGTTTCCTGAGGAAGGTCCCGATCCTGAATCTCGTTGGAGCATGGTGTTTGATGAAGCTGTGAATGCTTATGGGAAAGGAATTGGTGATGTGATTATCACTCCCCATGGATCGCATATCCCATTTACTGCAAGGTTGGTGTTTGATTGCACCAATAACATGGCAGAGTATGAAGCTTGTATCATGGGTCTTGAAGAGGCTATAGATCTCAGAATCAAAATTCTAGATGTATATAGCGATTCAACTTTGGTAATAAATCATATTAAAGGAGAATGGGATACTCGTCATGTGGCTTAATTCCCTACAAAGACTATGCTAGAAGATTATTACCTTTCTTTAATAAAGTTGAATTCCATCATATTCTCAGAGACGAAAATTAGATGGCGGATGCTTTAGCCACTTTGGCTTATATGTATCAAGTAAATAATTGGAATGATGTTCCTCGTATCACTGTGAGGAGTTTGGATAGACCAGCTTATGTGTTTGCAATAGAAGAAACGTCAGATGAAAAACCTTGGTATTATGATATCAAGCATTTTATCCAGACTCAGGATACCCGATTGGTGCTTCAAACAAAGATAGAAAGACATTGAGAAGGTTGGCAGGTAGCTTCTTCCTCAATGAAGATGTGCTATACAAAAGAAATTATGACATAGTCTTGCTTTGATGTATGGATAGACACGAAGCATACATGTTGATGCATGAAATTCATGAAGGTTCCTTTGGTACTCATGCCAATGGACATTCGATGGCAAAGAAGATGCTTAGGGAAGGTTACTATTGGCTGACAATGGAATTTGACTGTTATAAATTTGCAAAGAAGTGCCATAAATGCCAGATTTATGCTGACAAAATTCATGTGCCTCTGACACTTCTCAATGTTATTTCTTCCCCGTGGTCTTTCTCTATGTGGGGTATTGACATGATTGGAATGATTGAACCTAAGGCATCGAATGGACATCGATTTATCTTGGTGGCAATAGACTACTTCACCAAACGGGTAGAAGCGGCTTCATATGCTAATGTTACTAAGTAGGTGGTAGTGAATGGGGCTGTTGAAGCTGCTAATAAAAACATCAAGAAGATCATCCAGAAAATGGTTGTTACCTATAAAGATTGTCATAAGATGCTCCCTTTTACTTTGCACGAGTATTGTACATCCGCCTGCACTTCAATAGGGGAAACCTCATTCTCTCTTGTGTATGGAACGGAAGCAGTGCTCCTCGTTGAGGTTAAGATTCCCTCTTTACGTGTGATAATGGAAACCAAGTTGTC